CTTTTATTATATCTATAAAAACAAATACATGTAAAATAAAATTTATCTCCTGAAATAATTTAATTTTTTGTTATATTGCTGTAGCAATATGTGTGTATCAAAATTTATTTTCAGCTATTATTTGTGATACTTTTATATCTCTACATAAAGTGTCCTTTTGAATAAATTGTCAATTTTATTCATATCTCCATTTCCCTTGTTTTATTTTGTAATTCCAACCGAATACTTGTACGAAGCACAAGCATCGTATGATTGATATAAAGTTGAAGTCCAATTTATACACGTCTATCTGGGTATATTTTCCTTGTTTTCATTATTATAACTCAGAATCGTAATTTTATGACAGATAGCTCCTCGCGATTCTTGGCTGGACGAGCAGCTGCAGCTTCGGTGTCGCGGGTGTAAACGAGCGGTGCCGCGTGTACGAGCCGTGTTCGTCGCGATGAAACGCCGATATCTGCCCCCCCCCCCGAAACACACCCCCGTTTCCATTTACACCTGCAGTCCGCACGCCTAGTTTGCACCGATCGCGAAATCGCGTTTAACAATAGCGGTCTGGCTCGTAGGCCGTAAGTCAGTCGCAAGCGTATTCGTGATGGAGGAGATACAGCGGGAGCTGCATGTAACGGTGAATGCGGATGCAACCCGTGAATGGTGTTCAACAGGTATCCGTAGTAATCTCCGGCTAGGCGGCGGGAGTCGACAATAGAATGCCGGCCGAAGTCGCGTCCATTATCGGCCGGCTGATAAACGGCAAAGATATGTATTGCACGCGCGGTAGCTCGGGTAAATTTGCGTTAAATGCCAATGCCGGTGTGTCCGCGTTTCAACTCGTTTCTCAGCGGCAGGTTGGCCGGCCAATTCTCGCGACATTTCGCATGCGATTAACTCTCTTTCTGGTCCAGCGGTTTTCATTAGTATCACGCTATTGGACATATTTATTGCCACGTGACGTCGAACGTGAAGCGCGAAGTGTAAGGTGCGCTTTAATTACCATTGTAATTCATTCGCGATACGTAAGAAAATTTAAATCTTTCAATCAATTTAGTTTACCACCTTTACACCCAATGTAGAAAAAAAGTTTTGTTACAAACTTTCAGTTGCTGAACTTCTGTTAGTTTCGTGTTAACTGCGTTTTTATTAAAAAAGAGTGAATGTCGAAGTCTGAGATATTCTTGGAAACGCATGGATATTTTTACTTTTTCCTACGGCTTTCCCAAATGAAGCACGGTAGACAGAAAACTCATTCAGATCGGACGCAACTCGAAAATAATTCAACAGCTGCCAGTATTGGTATCGTCGGTCGGTCGGATAACTTAGAATTACGATGATTAATTGAACGTCGGAAACAGAGCGAGTAATTTACGGGACAAATTCGCGGACTACGTCGCCGAGTTTATACGTAGCTCGTTTCCTCTCTCTCATCGACTCTCTTTCTCATCGATTTTTCTCTCTTCCGTTTCTTTCACAATCTGGAGCTTCTCTTCGAGCTGTCTCTGCTTTTCGTCAGCTGTTCTCGAACGAGACATAAATCGATTTAATAACCAACGTTCGGCGAGAATTCCAAAATATGTCAATCTAATCAACTTAGCACACACACAAATCTTCTCTTTAATGACTATATTCTCAACTTGAAAATTTCTTTCTTCTAGGAGAAAGTCCAACAAGAAAGTGATCGAGATATAAATATCAAATGAATTTATATCCCGTGAATAAAAGTATATTCGACCCAGTTTGAAACTCGCGAACGTAAACCCGGCGTAAAATAATCGGCGGCAAAAAAAATGAGCTTAAGAGCTCCGAGTGTTAATTGCAGCAACAAACGTCGTCGAAGGCTCCGGTGCCGCGCTCGCAGCGCTTAAATTGATTTCCGTTCCGTTTACGGCCCCGAATGATTTGCTGACGTTTCGCTAACGTTATGCGCGGCAGCTGCTACAGAGAAACTCGTCTAACTCGTCTGCTTATTCGTTCACTTTTCGCTCGCGTTCAGCGCGCCGGTTAAAACGTCTCTCCTGTTTCTATAATGTGTCGTCGGGGCGATTCGCGCCATCGCTTAAGTTCCCTGTCGTTAAACGTTAGCGTCAAATAAACACGTACATTGAATTAAATTTCGAATGGAATTTCAAGTCCTCGTGTATTTAGCCTGGTTGAACGTCCGTTTTCCGCGTCTCCGTTCGCAGAGGCGCGTTTTGTCGACAATATTCGCCCGTATTCACCTGTCCGTCATTACATCATATTTACTCGTTTGCCCGAGTGTGTGCCCCGTATTCATTCAACGGCCCGGAAGCCGGTCGGTTTCATAACGTGAAAACACCCATCGATTTTCTCGTATTTATAAAGCCGAGACGCGACTCGGCGCCAGCATCCGCGACTTAAAAGTAGCGCATCGATTCGTATCCAGCCACTTGTTCGATAAATCGTTTCTCCCGCCGCGCGTCCGCGGGCTTTACAGGATAGAACGAATCGGGGAATTACCGCTGAGGTACTTTTAAAATAGCACCGAGGTCGCGAACGAGACCGTATGGCGATCGTCTGTTTCGCGGACGAAAGAATCGAAGAATCGTAGATCATTCGCGGGAAATTATTGCACGGTTGCCTGAGTAATCGAGTCTGGAAATTTGCGCAAAGTCCAAGATTCTCCGTGCTCTAAACGTTGCTTAAAACTAAACACTTAGTAACTATTATTTACGCCTTCAGAATCACAATGTTGTGAAAATGATATCCTCGAAAAAATAAAGACGCGTGTGTGTGTGTGTGTGTGTGTGTGTGTGTGTGTGTATGTGTGTGTGTGTGTGTGTATTTCCTTATAAATAATTCTTCCCAGAGACTCTCTCTATCATCACTTGTTCACGCGCATAGAATCATTTCCATTTCCCAGAATATTGTCCCTTTTATCTAAATTTGATATCGTAAAGCATGGAAACGGGGCGCAGTTGGCAGCACGCACACTAATACAAAATTAGCCGCACGGATAGAATTTCTTCGTGATCGTGTTGCAACAGAGTGTTCGGAAAGCAAGTGTCTTCATCAAGCGGTCACGGAGGAAACAGATCGTCGCTTTCACGAAAGCAGATCGCCGGTGAAATTTATGCTGTCACGTGCCGTCCTCGACAAAGTGGACTGCAATTTAGCCGCTCTGCTTTAACGAAGCGCCGCGTTCCCGTTAAATGTAGAATCGTGATAGTAGCTTTGTGCCCGCTAATCGCGTTACAAACGAAAAACCATCGTCAAGTATGAGCACGATGGTGAGCGATCGTGCCTATGTAATGGGCTATGTGACTCTCGTTCGCCGACATTTATCACTTAAAAACCGCTTTACGACTAATTTTTTACGTATTATCGTTCGTAATGCTTCCTTCTTTATTTACTTGGAGAGTATCGATTCGTATCATCCCGCTCACATTAATTACGCTTAACGAGTCCTTCGTTAATTCAGCGGAACACCGTTGACATTCGAACTTAAGCCAAGAATTTTGCAACTCTCGTCGGTATGCGAACAGTTGTCGGTCGCACTTGAATTTTGACACTCTCGATTTATTTTTCAACGGCAATGATAATCAATATATGTCGATGTGTCTTCATTTTTCCAAGTCAATTTTTATACCGCATGTCCAGTCTTCTTACGTAAAGCGTTTCTTATCGTACAGTTAAAGGACTTTTATTTTTCGAGGACACTTTATTGTGACTATTTTCAACCATTTTCGAAGACACTTTTTTGTGACAACGTGAAGGGTTTCCTTTCGTTTCACAAATGTAAGCTCGCTCCGTGAGCTTGAATCAGAAGTGAATTCGTGAAAAATTTTTATTTCTTGTTGGTTGAAACGTTTTTTTTTTCAATGTCAATTGGGCAGAGAAATCACGAGATCGCGTGACAGGCGGCTGGAACAGAAAGACGCAAATCACAGACGCGAACACGTCGTTGTTCATCGGAAGTTCCTCTCGGCGAACGGCCGGTCGTCAGCCGCTCGTTTGCCGAGTTTACGTCGCTGGCCGTCATTTCTGCGAGGAGAGTTCGTTGCCAGTTCTAAAATCGTCGTCCTGACAATGACGTAGGATCGTGGCCGTTTGTTTTCTCGTGGGACGACAATCGCGACGGCGGATCCGTTCTTTTGTCGCTTCGACGAGCGGAAAATACGTTGCGCCATCGATCGCAAAAGATCGCAAAAGATCGCGCACGTTGCGATCTCGTGGGGGTTCGCGTTAACGCGCGTCCAAACTAAATAACGAGATGTATATCGATGAGTCACGACGTGGCGGGCGCAGAATAAATAAACGATAGTTTATTCGACTCAATGTTTGGGTAGATCCGTATTACGTATGCAATGATGCTTGTCCGATGAATTTTGCGTTGCGTTCGCAGCCGCATCGTGCCCGCACTCCTACGTACGTATATATATATATATATATATATATATATATATATATATATGAATAATAAACATCGACGGAATAATTTACGACGGAATAATTAACTCACGACTTTTGAGACAATTCATTGATATCCAGCGTAATATCCAGAGCGCGATTCGAAATAAATGCGAGATACTCGACGCCGCGGAGCGAGAGAATGTTTAATCGTTCTATCTATAAAAAAAATCAGTCTGATCTATCTACGAAAAGAATTTTTCCCACCGATCGATTTAATTCGGAAGACTCTTAGTTCCACTCGGATTCTCGTATTTAAATCTCCCTGTCGTGTTCTAAATCTTGAACTTTAACATTTGTCTCTTAAAATAACACATTACAATGCAACTTCTCATTTTTCTTATATATATATATATATATATATATATATAAAATAGTAAATAACTTTTATTCTTGTTAATTATGCTTTAATTAATTAATCGAGTTTGCATTTGCGTTCCCAAACGTGCCGAGCTTATCGCTCTCGGAAATCGCCCACGACAATTATCCCGACCCGAAACGCCCACGCTGCGGCGCCGCCGGAAACTGGACGATTACGGCAATCGGTCATGTATACACATCGTCAAGCAGCTTACCTCCTGGATCTTGTAACTGGTGCGGATGGTCTTGCGTCTGGTGGTGGTGATCTCGTAGGTCTCTTCGACGGTGGGCGCATCATCGTCGTCGTTGTCCTTACTGTTGAGGACACCGCTGTCGTTGTCGGCCCTCATCAGCGCGTCCGTCTCGTCCATCCCGACGTTCTCCGTGTCCACTTCCATCAGACAACAAAAATCAACGGCCTATCGGCTCAAGATCGATCCAAGAAGATCGTTCGTGGCGATCTCACTGCGAACGTGAGTTACAAGAGGCGATGGATGGAACACCAGTCGTCTCTCCTGTCGTCGCACGGGCACCAGTTTTGATTTCCGATTTCGAGGCGCGGCGGAAAACTTTCAGAGCGCCGCGGAACTATTCCGGGAGTCCAAGTTCCGCGCGGAACGGCGAGACTGGCGGTACTAAAGCACCGCGCCGCGGGAACCCGCGGCGGACAAGATCCCGCGCGCGTCTTTCGACGGCGAAAATAGAATCCCGTGGTTTCCCGCAGGAACCCCCGCAGCTCGCGCGCGGGAACTCGTGCCGACGATTTGTCGATCTATCGCGCGTGAACAGTTTCGCGTAGTTGGAAAGAGAGTCATATTGGAATTTTGGAAAATGTCACCTTCGAGGATAAGTGAGATCTTTTTGAGGGTTACAGACTCAAATTTTTCTGTGGACATAAACGTTATTAGTTATTAAAGAACATAACGTTATAGAGTTATTGAAAGAGAAGCTCGAGGAGTTTATGCAGTCTGTCTAATAATTCGAAAAAATTAAATATTTAAATTTCGAAAATGTCAATATTATGTATCTAGTAACGTGTTAGTTAATACGGTTATCATTGTAAGATGCATAAATTTCGAATATTGTATCCACAAAGGTGTATAAATAATCTATTTATTCAATAAAATATAAATCTATAACAATCTCTTAGTAATAATATGGAATAGCATTGTATAATAATAATGTCTCACATATATCTCTATAAAAATTGAAGAAAAAGTATTTAATACAAAATTTTATAATTTCAAAATGTGCTGTAATATAATATATAATTTAAAAGATCAAGTTGAAGGCACGTTAGAAATCATTAACCGGTGGCGCGCAGCAAAAAAAGTATAAATTTAATATATCAAAATCGCAATCCTAAAATGCTGTAATAGTTTATCAATTTTATAAATTTCATTGATTGATTTTAATTTAATTTGCTAAATAAAATTAATATAATAAATATAGTTAACTTCCCTGAGTTCTTAAATCATATTATCGGATATTTTTATAGCACTGATTTATGGTTTTCAAGAGACTATTGTTATTAATAGTCGTATATCCTGATATTTTCAATTGATAAATACGCATAAATGTATCTATATACGTCTATAAAAAAAATTTTTTTTCATGAAGCAACTCTTTCCCATTGATCAGTTCTGATGGCTCAAAAACACCGACTTCCGTAATTATGCCGGTAATTAAACTCGCCGGTGTCACGTCGAACGCCGGATTCCAACACGCTATGCCCTCTGCTGCGATTCTCTTATCGTTTACATGAGTCATTTCTCGTTCGGGTCTTTCTTCGATAACGATATTATTACCGTCCGACATTTGGAAGTCTATGGACGTCAGTGGTGCAGCCACGTAGAAAGGAATATTGTGATACTTTGCGAGGATCGCAATCTGTAATCAGTATAGATAACTGTGTAATAATTGCTGTAACTAGGTACTATGACATCTATAAAGATTATTTTTATCGTACTGATTATCCTTCATTGTTATCGTTATTTTATCTGTAATTCGCGAATTAAGCTATCATATGCTCGCTGACTAAGTTACCTGATAAGTTCCGATTTTGTTCGCAGTGTCGCCGTTCGCGGCGATTCTATCGGCGCCCACAACGACTGCGGTGATTTGCTTCGTTTTCATTACCGCGGCGACCATGTCATCGCAGATCAGAGTTGCCGGAATCTTGTCATGTACCAATTCATATGCAGTTAAACGGGCCCCTTGATTGTACGGTCTGGTTTCAGTGCAGTATACATGCTCTGTAACAAATACGAAAATAACGATATGACTGATGTTCGAATAATATAATGATGTTTCTATGGTTCAATGTGTGGAACACTTTAACTTGGTTTAAATTTTTATCTCTTTTTAATTCTAATAATTAAAAAAAGATAAAGAATAGATAAAACTCAAATTAAAATTTATTTAGAGATAGACTTGAGAAACCTCGCGTTTTTGAAAATGATGATATTTACCGAGCCTTCTCTTACTGTGGAGAGATCTGATGACACCTAAAGCTGTGCCGTATCCCGCAGTAGCGAGACTCCCAGTGTTGCAGTGGGTGAGAATTCTAACAAAACTCTCTATAGATATATTACGCAGAATCGTAAGCGCTCCCACATTCCCGATCATTACATTATCCGTCACATCATTTTGCAGCATTTTGTTTATCTCATGAATGAATCTGTGATACAAATTTTAAGATGGCATAAAGCTGATTGCTCAAATTCTTCTCCAAAAGCATGCCAGCTGAGGATATACCTGTCTTTCATCTGGGATAGAGTGTAAGCATCGTCTTTACTGAGATTATCTGCCAGATCTATGAGCTCGTTGGCTGCTATCTTCATGTTGACTGCAGTAGGACGTGCCGATACCAAATAATTCAGTCTATCCTCGATAGTCTGCCGAAGGACCATCTTATTCTCGTAACCTGCGTGTTGAAGGATCTCTACTGCCAGACTGAGGCAGCCTACGATGGCTATGGCTGGCGCACCTCGCACCTGTACACCGTCACCAAATTATCAGTTTCATTTAATTATAATTTATTATCAGCAAACACGAAAGAAGATACTCGCGACTCAACGGTGAACTTACCTGCATCTTGTTGATCACCAGCCAGCCATCATTCACTCCTTCAACCAAGATGTAGCGGGTGGTTGTCGGCAACAACGTCTGGTCCAGGATCTCCAGTTTGCCATCCACTATGTTCCATTTTATCGCCTGCAGTGTCATCGCGAGCTAATAATCATGACTAATTGCAACCGGTCACAGGAGCAATCTACGTCGGACAATAACTACGGATTTATTGACTGAACGAGCAATAATTATGACACCATTCTCGACCGAGTGAGATAAAATGGAGTAACGTGCGAAGCATGTGAATTACAGTGAGTACGTCCGACGAGAAGGTGCCATCTGGCGAATAGAAATGTGAATGGGCGCCATCATCCCCCTTCCTCATCATCTCCTCCTTCGTCATTTTTACCCCCTCCTCAATCCCATCTCACTTCGCTCGGACACCGAAAAACGCATGTAACGTTATCTTCGAACGCGTTGCATAATTTTCCTGATAACAGTAACAGTCGTCAGCAGCTCGTCAGCTTGTCTGTTTTGAAAGTTCACAACAACTCGAGATGTTGTGAAATAATCAAAAGCGATCTGGGATCAGAGTTGCTTCATTTTGCCCGCGAATATCATTAATGAAAATACGAATAAATCGTTATACTTGAATATATTCGTTAAAAACGAATTGTTTCTATTAAATTTATAGATCATAATTAATCATGTCAATTAAATTTGATTTTATTATTCGCGAAAAGATTTCTTTAACTGTGTATGTTATAAGTAAAATCGAGAGTTTTTTCAACAGAAATGAGTAAGGTTTTGTAGATATAAATTATAAAATAATTAAAAATAAAGTCAATAAAAATTAACGCTACGTGTGTAATAAATCTTTCAAAGCTAAAAATATCATCTTTTATAATACCATCATCTTTTATCCTTTTCAAAGAGACCACATAATTGCGATATTGATTTATTTACAGATGATGTCACTGTCGAGATTTTTTTATAATCGCCATTTTTTAAATGAAATTATATATTTTTTCCTTCTAATTCTTCTACTTATTTTAGATAAGAAAGTATTAAAGTACAAATTTCATAAAATCAATAGTTTACGAAATATTTCATACTTCATTCTGATATATTCGGACACTCTTATGTATATACACATAATCTTATCATGATAAGAATATATATATTCAACATCGACATTTGCGGAACGCGAAATGAAGAAGATTGGTCTTTGTCCCATGTCTCTACGTCTATTTTTTAAGAAGTTACAGCCTTTTAAAAATCCACAGGTGCGCCCTATGAGAAAAAAAAAATGAAAAAACGCCGCACGTATTTCTTGTTTACATTTCATACTTTTTTGCCTTCCCAAAAAAGGGCGAAAACACGTGTAGTACAAGCGCTTTGAAATGCGATATGCCGCCACCATGAAAACGCGCGCCATCTATTGACTAAATCAGATAGATCCTGGTCGATATTATCAATATCTTTTTAATAGCGTAATAGTCTTATATCGTTCTTGCTCCTTCTATTATTAAAGAGATAAATAACAAGAGCACAAATGCACGTCTGTAGTGTCTATAAGCAAAAAATTACATACACAATTAGAAAGAAATTAGAAAGAAATTTTTTTTCTAAATTACATAAACAATATAATTATATAAATTCCATTAATTATTCTAGAAAAAAATTTTTAAACATAGCGACTGAATGTTTCAATAAAAATATAATTTAATAAGCGTCACTAACCACGTGTATCGTTCTCTATAACAATTAAAAATACCGTTATTGAAGCATTATTAAATATTTCATTAATATATTTTAATTAATATTATATCATTAAAATATCACAAAATATAACTTTTTTTATTATACAATATTCTTCATTTCAGAAATTAATTGAAACACATTTAATCGATGCATTTATTTTAAAATACCTCGATGGGGGATTTTTATCCCCCTCCCCCTCCCTGGGGAGAGTAAAAACATTGACGAGTCTGCTTCTCCGCAACGAGCTAAAATTTCCGAAGGCGAGAATTATCTCTACTTCCACGTATCCCATCCATTTTATTAGGTCGTTACCATTTCGGATAATCTGGAATCCGAACAATCCTTCGAACACGCGGATTTTGGAAGATCGAATGGCTGCGTCTTACTTTCGCTATTACGGTCGCGCCGGAAAATTGCAAATTCGCACGTAGGACGGCGGCCCGCGGCATGTCCGACGGCCACCGTCGATCGTTTCACTTCCGTGTCACGCGCGTCGTAAAGTCGTGAGCAAAGACTCGCTTCCGGGACCAGCTCGAAGAGCTTCGGCGGAAAATGTCGCGCGTTCGAAGGAAACGAGAGGCCACACACGGTATTTTTCGCTTTCTCTCCGTATGTACTTCGTCCTCGCGTGCACGAAATCACCCCGGCATAATTTCGCTTACTATCGCGCGGCGGAATTTCTCAAAGTGCAAATGTCACGCTGACTGGATTTCTCGCGTTTTTCATATCGGAAAAGTGGCCTGCAGTCTCTGTGTGCAATCGCGCGACTCGCGGACGCCTTTTGCAACGATCGTGCCGGCGAAAACGTCTCTCAATCCTATCTGCGACCAAACAATGCTCTTTTTAAAGCGAACCTGACCCTAGAAATCCGATTCGCGGTCCCTTTGTACCACGCTGCAAAAATGGTTGAATTAATAGAGACTGACAAGAATGTGTTCTACGATATTGATTTCATAATCTCCGAAGTGGGGGATCAATTTGAGAACTTCGCGATTGCCTTTTGTCTAACATTTCCGACTTCCATAATTTTTCCATTCTCCAGAATAAAACTCTTCTTGTGGTCTTATTTATTCATCTGTTTTAGGGAGATTCTGTTTTGAGCTTTCTCTCGAGATAAATAAATATATAATTTTCTCTCGAGATAAATAAATATATAATTTTCTTTCAATCTTATCATTCTTGGATTTAGATCTATAAATAATATCATTGCATTTGAGGAGCCGCTCTTGATATCTATTATTGATAATAACTGCCTTTATATCACTGCATTTCAAGAAAATTATTATTATTATTCGTTGGTCGTTTCGTAGTTGCGTTATCTGCATGCGTATCTACCGGTTTCTCTGAACAACTTACGTGACAACATAAATAGCGGGATATAAAAAGCATCTGAAATGCTTCGCGAGATAATTATGTTCCACGTAACCGGTAAAGTTACGTAATCGCCGAATGCAGAAACAATCGCGTCTATCTGATCTTAATGCTGACAACGTATCGCGATAACGAAACGAATTCATGAGATTCGAGCGTCCCCTTTAGAAATTTAATTCGCGTTCACCTTGCGCGTGAGAACCGAGTCTTTGAATTTTCGATAAATTAACGCGATGAATTTACTTAGTGCGTCGAGTCAAAATTATCGATAAGTTAACGTGGTATAAGCGAGACAAATGACATTAATCAGCGCGCATCGCATCCGAGAGAGCGATGTGATAAGCTGCAAAATGCAGGGACACTCGGACCGGAAACAAGGACATAATATATATATATATATATATATATATATATATATATATATATATATAGTAGGAGGTAAGTAAGTA